ATTTTATGGTTGGGGGTCACCACAACATGAGGAACTGTATTAAAGGGTCGCGGCATTAGGAAGGTTGAGAACCACTGCAAGGCTGGCTACCACATCCTTTTTTTTTTTTTTTTTCTAGTTCTGATATTTTTATTACACCATAATTCTGCTTCAAACCTGATACAGTTTTTTATTTATTTGTTTGTTTGTTTGTTTGTTTATTTATTTATTTATTTATATTAAATCTATTGGGGTGACATTGGTTAATAAAATTATGTAGGTTTCCAGTATATAATTCTTGAAACCACACTCATAAAAATTATTTCCAAATTTATAAGCTTCCATTGTACATAAACTTTCACTTTGTTGAAATCTGATTTTGCACAAGTTCACTTTTCTATCTTCACTGAACATTAAAATGGAAGCATAAAAGTAAAAATAAAGGTTCTCATCCATAATAATTTAATTAATCTAAAACTTATAAGCACGTCCACATTTAACTAAAGAAAAAATCTATTTGATCTAACAGCAAAGATATTTGTAATCTACTGAAAGCACTTAAGTAATAATGAAAACAAAAGTTCACTTTAACTCATTGGTTAAAATTATAGATCAGGAACAGTAATTATTTGGAGAGAGTTTGCTATTTCATCTCATTCAATATTCTGAGGTAATATCAATCATTAATATCAAATAAAATTATTTTTAAATTTAAAAACAGCTTCTGCATATGACTGTTCTTCTGAAAGCTTTTAATTAATGACACATTAAGGCAAGAAAATGATCTATATCAGTGGTTCTCAACTTTCCTAATGCCGCGACCCTTTAATACAGTTCCTCCTGTTGTGGTGACTCCCAATTTCATTGTTACAAATTGAACATAATTAAAGCATAGTGATTAATCACAAAAACAATATGTAATTATATATGTGTTTTCCGATGGTCTTAGGCGACCCCTGTGAAAGGGTTGTTCGACCCCCAAAGGGTTCGCGATCCACAGGTTGAGAACCGCTGATCTATATGTTTGTTTTTCAAGCAATGAAAAGGAAATGTTCATGTAGAACTTTACCACCAAGCTATTTTTATCATTTCTAACTTGGCACCCAACCTTATTAATTCAACAGATATGTCTGAGCACCTGTTGCTCTGAAATACTTTAGGGATATAAAGAAACTAAGCCAAGGCCTTTGGCCTCAAGGAACTTATACCTGGTTAGGTTGATAAGGCAGGTTAACACATACTTTAATGCTAAACATTGCGCAGTAAGTTTCATAAGGGAAGGAAACAGTGGTCTATGAATTAGGGGAGAGAGAAAGCAATTCTAATTGGTAAACAGCAAAGCATTATGGAATACTGGCATTTGAGCTGCCTCTTTAAAGATGAGTAGGTTTCAATAGTGGAAGCTGATAGGGTGGTTACTACTATAAAATAATCAGCAAAATCAAATGCCGGGAATCATGAAGTTACTAATACACACCAAGGTGGGCACATTCTCCCATAACCTCCATATTTCAAGGTAAAAGCCAAGGTAGATTCCACTCCTCTGATGATGATATCCATCCCTTTCATCCTTCATCCAGTGCAACCCTGTCATTGCCTTCTACTGACTTTTGTTCACATTATCTGAGTCTGGTTTTTGTTACATTCCATACTATAATTTACACAATATACTTTCAGGAGGTTCTTTTCTTCCTTCTGTTGTAATTAACCATTGAGGGTTTCTGTATAGGACTTAAATTTTAAATTATTCTGATACACTATTGTGTCAGATTGTATTTTCCAACATGGCCACAAAAATACCCTGAGCTGAGGCCCAGCCCCGGCCCCAGCCACCGTCTGACTGCTACCACAGACTGAGGTCAAGTGAGAACTGCCTAACTGAGCCAGTCTATCCTAGAATCATAAGAGATGCTAGTGAACAGACTGTTGTTGTTTAAAGCCCCTATGCCTTGAGGTGATTTTTTTGTGTGACATTAGATAATTAAGAAACATTCTTGCATCTGTAACAAAATCCTAAAACATGTAGTATGGTCCTTGGGATCAGGTGGTGAGCAGAAAGGGGACGAACACTGAAGGACTGTTAGTGAAAACCTAAAAAACCTCCACGAAAGCGTTAGTGAAAGCCTAGAGGGCCTCCAGGAGGCTGTCTGTGAAGACTCAAGCAAATGGAGAAATGTCACTGGAAGCAGGAGAAAAGGCTGCACTTGTTACGTAGTGCTGCAAAGTTTTGCGCCACCGTCACCTGTGATCATGTGAAAAATGGGAAATGTACCTAATGCACTCAAAGATCTAGCTTTTTCAGGCAACACTGAAATTGCCACATGGCTTCTTCTCACTGCCTATGATGAAATGCACAAGGAAAGAGATAAGCTAAAGAGTGAACTGTTAAATATAGAGAAGCCAAGATTGCTGGGTTTGAAAATAAAATGATTTCTTATTCCCAACCTCTCTAGACAGCAAATGATTCTAAAATTAAAAGTAGCTTCTGGGCAGAGATGAAATCCAGTGCAGGAAAACAGCATCTAAAAATGAAACGGAGGGCATGGTGGTGAAATTCTTTATTAAGATTTTCAGAAAGATCTAATGTGGTACCTCATAGAACCTTTCAATCAGACCAAAAGCTTTTGAAGGATCTCCAGAGCATGCCTGTAGAGCCTCTCAGTTAAGTAATTGAGACTTCAAGAATCTTAAGGATATCGTCCCACAACAGCGTCCTCTGAGCCCAAGGTAGAGAAGGGCTTAGCCTGAAGAAGTAGGATAATAAAGCGATGCATTCAAATACACCCAAACACACAATGTGTTTAAGAGAATTATTCTGGTAGAACCACTGACAATTGTGACTAAAATGGACAGGTAAATACCAAGAATAGGATTTTGAACCCCCACTACTTTATAGGCAGGAACCAGGCTGAGAAGGCTACTCAACACCTGCCAGGCCAGCAGGGAGTGGGGGAGTGGAGGTGCGGGGGGGGGGGGCGGGTAGGGAATGACTGAGGGCAGGGGAGGGCAGTTGGGCGATCAGGCCGGCCCTGTGATCCCCTTCTCCTGGTATTCACACCCTTATATAACCTCCTCCCCTTCAATGTAGGCAGGATCTGTGACTTGCTTCTAACCAATAGAATATGGGAACAGTAATGAGATGCTCATAATTACATTGAAGTGACTGCATTGCTTAAAACTGCAATGTTGCCCTGGCCAGTGTTGCTCAAAGGTTAAAGTGTCAACCTAAGCACTGAAGGGTTCAATTCCAGGTCAAGGGCATGTACCTGGGTGGCAGGTTCAATCCCCAGCCCTGGTCAGGCAGGAGGCAACCAATTGATGCTTCTCTATCACATCTATGTTTCTCTCTCTCCCCCCATCCCTTCTCTCCTTCCCTTCCACTCCCTCTAAAAAAGCAGTCCTCAAGTGAGGATTAACAAAAACAAATAAACAACAACAACAAAAAGAGTACAATGTCCATCTTCGTAGGAGACTTTCTCTCTCTTGCTGGCTTTATAGAAACAAGCTGCCATGTTGTGGACTGTGTATAGATAGGGCCAAATGAGATATGTCCCACACCATTGCCCTTTCTTGTGTCTAGTGAACTTTGATGTCTTAAGTCTCATTCAGATTCTCATGCTCATTTTTTTCTGCTACAGTTTCTGCCTTCCCTGAAAAGGGACTATTTTTGATCCCAAAAGGACAAGGAAGAGAAGAGGTGCCAACATTCCATATCAATCTATCAATAATAGCTGCAACACATTTCCTCCTTTATTATCAAAAAATAAACACACACACACACACACACACACGCACACGCGCGCGCACACACCCAGCGCCAAGTGTATCAGTTTCCTGGGGTTTCCATGGCAAATCACCATAAATTTGGATGGCTTAAAACAACAGAAATGTATTGCCTCAAAGATCTGGGGGCTAAAAGTTTGAAATTAAGGTGTCAACCGGGTCATACTCTCTCTGAAAGTTCTAGGGAAGAAGCCTTCCTGGCCTCTTGCTAGGTTCTGGTAGTTGCAACACTTGGTGTCCCTTGGCTTGAAGATGAATAATTCCAATTTCTGCCTCCATAGTTACATGGCATTCCCCTGTTTGTTTCTCTTACTTTCCCCCTTCTTGTAAGAACACTAGTCATTTGATTAGGGCCCACCAATATGACCTAAAATATGACCTCATCTTAACTTGATCACATCTGCAAAGATGCTGCATCCACATAAGGCCACATTCACAGACACTGGGGATAACAACTTGAACTTCTTTCTGAGAATACAGTTCAACCCATAACAATATCAAGTATTAACTTTCTTCCATAGATAGTACAATATAGTTTATCCAAGAGAGTATATTCCTGCTATCAACATGCTTTGGACTTAATACTCAGTAAAATAATAACTGGTTGATGTTGCTAAAAATTTAGTTTTTATGGGCTTTGAACTGTTTTTTATTTAAACTTTAATTTTCAATTACAGTTTTCATTCAATATCATTTTGTATTAGTTTCAGGCATATAGCATAATGGTTAAACAATTGTACACTTTACAAAGTGTTCCCCTCATATTTCCAGTACCCACCTGGCACCATACATAGTTATTACAATATTATTGACTATATTTCCTATGCTGTACTTTACATCCCTGGCACTAACTACCAATGTGTGCTTCTTAATCCTTTCACCTTTTTCACCTAGTTCCCCAACCCATCTTCCCTCTGGCAACCATCAGTCTACTGTTCTCTGTATCTGTGAGTTTGTTTCTATTTTGTTTGTTCATTTATTTTGTTATTTGGATTCCACATATAAGTCAAATCATATTGTATTTGTCTTTCTCTGACTGATTTTGCTGCGAAAAACATCCTTAGAAACAAATGCCAAGAGAAAACCCCACTGAGGCTTCCAGCTACCATTTTATTTTTTTTATTTTTTTTTTTAATCTGAACAATAAAGATTTAATTTTTAAAAAAAGAACATGGAGAACAAAAGTAGACATCCCCTGGGCTTAGGGGACTGGAGCACAGTAGCACTCAAAAGCCACGTTAGGAGGCTGGGACCAGCAGTGCCTGGCTGTCCATGGAGGGTTTGTCCTCAGGCACAGGCTGGGCTTTGGGATCCGGAGCTGTGAGCACTGCGCCCACTAGGCGGCGCCTCTTAGCCGGGACCTGAACAATGGACTCTTGAGTCCCCTGTTCCCGAGGACGACGACCACTTCCACCACCACGTGTGCCAGTTGGCTGGAGATCCTGAGCAGATGGGCCCGAGGGTGGCTGTGAGGATGGGTTGGGCTTTGAGGAGCAGAGGGCCGCGGCAGCCGCGGGCTGTGCAGCAGAGGCAGAACCATGGCCTAGCGAGGGGCGCAGGCATGGCTTGCGCACAAGGGCCTGGCTGCCACGGTGGCCGCGGGACCCACGGCCCGTGCCCACTGATCCAGGGGTGTGCGTGGCCCGACAGGGCTGCAGTTGCCTCAGGCCCAGCTCCACGTGGTCCACAACAGTCCGGTCCTGCCCGCGTTTCCACAGCTCATAGCGCTCGGGCTGCAGGAGGCGCACAAACACGTCCATGGAGAAGCTCACCCGGGCCTCCCCGCAGCTGCACTGAGAGGCCACTTTGCCATAGTCGACCCATCGCGGGGTGGCAAAGTTGATGGCCTCCGCACAGTTGAAGCCATGGTTGAAGCCAGCGTGGTAGCCATAGGGAAAGGTCACCATGAACTCTCCAGCCTCCTGAGTGATGCGACTGAATGGGACCCCGTTCTCCTTGAGGACAGTGGGCGAGATGAGGGCCACCTTGTGCCGCAGGAAGGCCTGGCAGCCCCGAGAGCTGCCCGGGAAAAGCTCCCTGGCCAGGCGCTCCAGGCGCGGGCCCTGTTCTGGGGGCACCGCGTACCACGTTTTGGGCTCCCCGAAATGCAGGTAGTTGATGCTGTAAAGGTCCATGTCCTCCGTGTGCCAAGCGAAGGTGGTCTTCCACATGCCAAAGTACAGGTAGGGGGTGTTGACACCTTCGATGACAACCCCACACTCCTGCTCCAGCAGGTCCTGGATGGTTCCCAGGTGGCAAAGGTTCCATTGTTTAGTGTTGGCATCAAATAAGGAGCCACTGATGTCAGCGCCATAGATGGGCGAGTTATACAGGCGCGTTTTCCAGTATTTCCGCTCCAGATCCTCAAAGTCCAAATGTGGTGGAGTCTGATACTGTCCACTGTTTGCCAACAGGCGATACTCGCCCACTGTCATGGCCCTCTTCTTTTTGTGGTATTGAATGAACACACCTGCTCGCCCAGAAGCCACCTGCTGGAGGGGAGTGGCTATCACCATGTCACTGACATCCTCGTAGGTCTGTCTGGCTTTCCATTCCTTGGGTGGAATGACCTTCGCCAGGCCAGCTCGGTGGGCACCTTGGGATTCCATGTAACCAATATATTTGTTGAAATCTTTAAATTCTTCCATGGTTGGGTGGAAGGTCATGATTCTCCCACTTGGCTCATTAGACACCATGGCTGCAATGTAAGCAGAGGATTCCCGGGTTCTCAGGGATGTTTTAGATACCTGAGAATGAGGGAGTGATATCTTCTCTCTTGTTTGACCAGCATTCAGTTGGAGATCCTCTAGCCAGGATCTCCAGCCAAGGTCTGTGTCTATTGAGCTATTACATCTGTATTTATACCAGTTGATTTTAATCCTATTCATTCTATTCCAAAGGTTAGGGCATTTCTTATCTCCATTCCAAGGTTACTCTATTGTTCTTTTAAGCTACAAGGGAGTAACTGAAGCAGATTATCCTAAATAAAGATTATGTAGCTTAAGCGTGATTGTTCGTAGTTAAAGTGATTAATTACCCGCCTGGCACTTAGTTAAGGGGTTTTATTCCCTCCCTAACTCCAGGGAAAAATCCTCCCTTGGGGAAACAACCTTTCTCAGGGAGGTGGTCCTGTTTAAAACACATAGCGTTAAGAGGGGGAGCAAACATATGCCATATATGCCAGGTCCCTTGAAACATAAGTTGTGCAGATGTTTCTTCCCTGCAGCGACTGTGTCAAGCAGCAAGGGTGGATCGGCTTCCAGCAGGAACATAAAAAGGACATTGAGTAAAAACTGAGGAAATCTGATTAACAGATTTATTAAATAACGTATAGGCCTTGATTCATCAACTGTAACAAATGTACCACAGTATTGTAAGGTATTAATAATAGGGGAAACCATGAATGAGGTAGCATGGGGGTAGTTATATGGGGGGAACTCTCCCAATTCTCTGATCAAATTTTTAATCTAAAACTGTTCTAAAAAATAAAGTATCACTAAGTGTAATAAAATAATAACTAAGAGAAGGTGTCAACGAAGAATAGAAGAATGAAAAAAATTAGAAATATAATCTATTTTTAAAAACAGTCGACAATACAGCTCAATATAAAACAAACAATGATAATTTTTTAAAGCAGGAAGGTTTAACATTTGTTTAATTATAAAATACGTTCTTATAGAAATTCACAAAGCATATTTGTACAGCTTAACTTACACATATTAAGAACTATTAACATCTATTAATAACCGTGCTTAATAACTGTGCTTCCTGAGGTGCAGGAGATATTCTACCAAATGACCCATGGCCACCCTGCGCCCCCTGCAGGTTGGTATGATCAGCCGGGGAGTCGTGGGTGTCTGCAAAGACAAGAAACTGCAGCACCAGGTGCCTGCTCACGCCTGAGACTTTCACATCAACCTCTTCCAAGTGCTGCCCTGGCTCAAGGAGAAACTCCATGAGGAGGATCTGCGTTTTCTCTCAGGGGTTTCCTCCTGGGAAGGGGCATGGGATCCAATTTTAAGAGCTGTGACAACACCTGTGCTCAACATCCTTTGGGGTAAGGGAGTGGGGAAGACGCACTGGCCATCTTGCTACAAATGAGATCCAATCTAGTAGCCGTTGTAAAAGGTTCAACCCAATCCCCAGTGCTGAGAAACCAGAGGCTGAGGGAGGTGTGTGAGCTTCCACCTCAGTGCTTTACTGACACCACTGTCGGGGCAGGCGGGGCACAAGCAGTTCAGCTCCGCCACCTAGAAGCCATCCACAAGGTTTTCCTGGCAGACATGGTCACTGTAGACAATCTGGGTCCTTTTGTCCCGATGGCAGCCCCGAGGACTGTTCTGGAGGGCGAGGGAGCCCCACACGGACTTGCCAGTAGCGGCATCCAGCATGGGCTGTTGGCGGGCAATGCTGACCTGGAGCTGCACGGACTCCACCTGCGTCCGGTTGAGCTCAGCAACGGCCTGATCTGCTGACTCCATCTTTTCATAGGTGACGAAGGCACAGTTTCTGGGTGGGTCCATGGAGAGGTCAGTGATGCTTCCAAAGGGGGAGAAGGCCCCACGGAGGAGGGTGGGCGTCATGTCTTCCCCGAACACGTAGAGTGTTCCCCTTCCGAGGGGCCCGGCGTTCAGGGAACGAGTCCGACCTGCGAAAGGGCCTTCTCGGTCTCGGTCCCGGTCTCTGTCTCCGTCCCGGTCTCGCTCTCTGTCTCTGTCTCTGTCTCGGTCCCGGTCTCGCTCTCGGTCCCGGTATCTGTCTCAGTGCCGATCTCTGTCTCGCTCCCAGTCCGGGTCTCGCTCTCCGTCCCGGTATCTGTCTCGGTGCCGATCTCTGTCTCGGTCCCGGTCCCGGTCTCTGTCTCACTCCCGGTCTCGCTCTCTGTCTCGGTCCCGGTTCCGCTCTCTGTCTCGCTCCCAGTCCCGGTCTCTGTCCGGGTTCCGCTCACGACGGCGGTCCCGGCTGCGGCTTCGGGGAGGGGAGACTGAGGAGCGGGCGTTACCACGTGCTTCGGAGCCCCGTCCAGAGCTTCGGGGAGGGCCATCGCCAGCCCCCGGCCCTCTGCCTCCTCCCCGCCTGGCCGGTCCCCAAGCCGGGCACTGGCAGACACAAAGCTCTCGTACGGAGATGTCCTTTGGGGACGTCTGGGCGACTCCTGCAGATGGTCATCAGCAGATAGGCTCCCCTGGAGCGTCCCCGGCTGGGAAGTGGGGACCGGCCCCTTCTCAGGGTCCTTGAACTTTCCCTCTAGGGTTCGAGAACGCTTGAAGCCCGAGTTCTTGGTCTCAGCCTTGGCGGCACTGATGGCTCCCGACTTCCCCAGCTGCTTTGCCTGCTCCGTGGCGGTGGCTGGGTCCAGCACGGGCTGCGCTGGCAGAGGGCGTTTCACACGCCTTGGCTGGCTGTGCTGCTGCTGCTTTGCTTCTTCAGAGCCAGCAGTGCCTTTTTTCTTTTTCTTCAGTTCGTTGAATATCTTCTGCAGAACCTCCTCCTCCTCGCTCAGTCCGGGGTATCACACATGTGCTCTGAGGGGCGTCAGCCCGGCCGGTCTCACCTTCCTTAAGAAGGAGTCCACCCCAGCTACCATTTTAAAGGAGTATGGGACTATGGGCCAGAGATCACTGTTAGAATTTGCAAGCTTTGGAACTTTCTTAAGTGTATTTATCTTATTAAATTCATTTTTCCAAAGTGATCAGTGAAAAACCCACAAAGAGAAAGACTGACCCTAGCACGTTTGCTCAGTAGAGAGAGCATCAGCCTGTGACTGAGGGTCCCGGTTTGATTCCGGGCAAGGGCATGCACCAAGGCTGCAGTCTCAATCCCTGACCCTGCTTGGGGCATGTGGGGAGGCAACCAATCCATGTGTCTCTCTCACATCAATGTTTCTCTCTCTCTCTCTCTCTCTCTCTCTCTCTCTCTCTCTCTCTCTCTCCCCCTCCCTTCCATTCTCTCTAGTAACCAATGGGAAAATACCTCTGGTGAGGACTTTTTTTTTTTTGTATTTGTTAAAAAAAAGAAAAAGAGAGAAAAGGACCTGGGTGGTTGTCTTCAGTCACAGTAAAGAAAAGGAGTTACTCTTTTAAACAACCAGGCTTCATGGGAGAAGAAAGAAAACCATTTAATGACCCAATTTGCAGTGGAAGCATCAAAAAGAGAGAAGCTTAAGTGACCAAGCCCTGTAGCAAAAACAGACAAACAAAAACAGGAAGGATAACTGGGAGCTGGCTGGGGCCTAGCTCCATAAGCAGAACATTTCACTGACTTCCCTGGGACACAGCGATGACTGGCCGTACACAGGCACTCAGAGTTGCACCATAGGGGTCATTCTCAAAATGTGGGTCCCAGACCAGTTCATCATTTTCATCTGGGAACTAATCTGATATGCAAATGATACAACTCCATTCCTGACCTACGGAATCAAAAACTTAGGATGAGGCCCAGCAATCTATATAGGGTATCTCCAAAAATGTATACACACACCTTGAATAATTATAAAGGCAGTATTTATTAAAATACATTTCATTTTCAAAAGTGAGCTATCAGCTGTTAAAGTGTGTATTCATTTGGGGGGGACACCCTGTATTTTAACAAGCCTACAGGTGATTCTGATATACACTGAAGTTTATATACTATTGCACTAGGGAATAGGATTTGGCTCATTATAGCACTTCACCTGAGAAGGTACTGTTTCCCTGATACAAGGTGAAAACAAAGCAAGAAAGTAACTGTGCTGGGAAAGCTAGAGAAAATAATTCATGTCACCAACAAGGAGAAAGGCAGTGCTCTCCCCAGCTCAGGCTGGGCAAGGACAGCTTACACGTCCTCAGGGGTGGGCTCTGGGCTGAAGCTGAAGGGGCCAGCAGCATCAGTGCCCTCTCCCCCTTGACCCTACAAGTCTCCCTACTGGCCCAGGACATGCGGCCCCTGAGCTTCAGCCCAGGCTGCACTGGAGAGCACCATGCCCAGCTCAGCAGAGCCCTGCTCCAGAGCACCTGACCAATCACTGGCGTTCATAACAACAGAAACCATCACAAGAGAAGCAAGATAAATAATCCATTGGATGATCATGAGTCATCCCTCTCAACAGCATCTATCTTCTAGGCATATTGCTGAACAATCCACATCTATTTGCTGACAGTTTTACTTGTTAAGCAAAACCATGAATACCCACTCTAAATGATACAAAAATAGACTTTAAAATAGTGAAACTTACCGTATCAGTTAGCAATGAATTTGGTGGAAAACAACATATGCCTAAGATAAACACATATTATTCATTCTAGTCAGGCATTTTAAAGAAAAAAAATTAAATTTAAAATCCAGACTCTGGTAATCAGTGAAATATAAGGCACTAGTGTAAAACATAAGGTTAATTATTCAGATATACTCATGAACTTGTTTAAAATGTTTAAAAGAATATTTTTTCACTGCATCTAAAACAAGCATAGGGTGAAATATTTTTTCAGACAAACCTATTACCCTTAATGTTTATACATCCTAATGAGTTATTAAAACCAGTATACAAGTTCACGCCCAAAACCATCTGAAATCATGATGTTTTGTTTTCCAGATTACAATATATGAATTTTTTAAAAATTTAAATTTCTCATAACAAATAACCAGTGTTTTTATAGAATCTATTTTCAAACTTTTTCTTTCCTTCAGAGATCAAGTACACCAAAACATTATTTTAAAA